GAATCCCCCCAGTTTTCCTCTGAATCCCCCCAGTTTTCCTCTGAATCTCTTCTCTTACTTCCAGTCTCCCTTATTTTACTTTTAACCTCTCCTACTTTATTTCGAATCTCCTATTTTTTTTTGAACCCCCTCTACTTTCCTTTCAATCTGAATTTTAAGTGCCCAGTTTCACACCCAGCCAGGTTGGCTGCAGGGCCACTGGAGAACCAGGAATTTCAGCAGGACACCACCAGAATTCCACATTTCCCTGCCTGTTCCCCTCCATCCCTTTCCCCTGGAGGTTCCATCCCTTCCCACCGAGGCAAAATATTTTTGCTCCCAGCCCTGCAGATGTGAAAACTCAGGGTAAAGCTGCAGTTTTATCATGCCTTGGAGGTCCCATAAATCCCCACAGCTCAGAGTTCAGTGCCTGGCTCAGCTCAGCCTGGAGCTTTTTGCTGCAGGATTGATCCTCCTTCAACTGTTCCTCGTCTGAAGAGCTCAGTCCAAGCTCTCCCTGCCTAATTTCCATCCAGACAGGAGTGTCTGGCTCAAGGCTCTGGAGCCCATCAGTCACTCTCAGCTGTCTTTCTATCCCAGCTCAGTGTCAGGGGGGTGGCAGAGGGGCACTGATGTGCTGCTCACCTCTCTCTCTGGGGGCTTTGAGGCTTTTCCTCTCCCTCTCCTCCTTCCCAGATGCTGAAAATCATTAATAGAAAATGGAGGGAAAAAAAAAAAAAGTGCTAAAAGTGGCTTCATAAATTTCCTTTGCTTTCAAGGCTTGGAATACAGGGATGCAAAGTGCTGCTTGTCACAGCACTGAAATGTGGCTGTTGCTGGTTTACTAAAATTAAAAAAAAAAAAAAAAAAAAAGTCTGTTTCTAAGCAAGGCTGAGCCACTGGGAGCTGCAAATTATCCCTTCTGTTCCAGGCCTGATGGACACCAGAATAACTTGAGGAGTTCTGCATATGAATCCTTGATGGAAATAGTGAAAAACAGTGCCAAGGACTGTTATCCTGCTGTCCAAAAAACAACCCTGGTCATCATGGAGCGGCTCCAGCAAGTGCTGCAGATGGAGGTGGGTAAATCCCAGTTTAAACCTCCAGTTTAAACCTCCTCCCTTTCCAGAGCTGCTGCTCCATCCCTGGGAGTGTCCAAGGCCATGCTGGACAGGGTTTAGAGCAACCTTGGTAGTGGAAGGTGGGACTGGGTGGGATTTAAGATCCTGGGATTCTGTTTGAAGCTTCTGCACAGTCCCTCTTGTCTTTAATTTGAAAAAAAAAAAACCAAAAAACCTAAAAAACTAAATATTTAAACACAGTGTGGACGTGCTGGTGTTGTCAGAACCCAGTACAGCCTCTTTTTCCCTTGTGTTCCAGTCTCACATCCAGAGCACCTCAGACAGAATCCAGTTCAACGACCTCCAGTCCCTCCTGTGCGCGACTCTCCAGGTGAGTGTCCCGCTGTCCCCCTGGGATTTTTATGGGAATGGGATGGCTCTGGGGGTGTTCCTGTGCCCCTGAGGAACCAGGCTCGGGGCCTGTTGATCAGATCTGAATGAGGAGAAGTGGATTTGTGTCCCAGCTGACACGTGGGAGGTGAGACGAGGATCAGAAGCCTCGAGTCGCGCTCCGGTGGCAGAATTTAGGGCAATTTGAAGCAGGAACACTGTGGGCAGCCTGTTAAAGGTGGGATAAAGGATTGTATGTGCTGCCAGCTTGGCTCCTGTGTTGGCTACAGCCTGAACAACCCCTTTGCTTGGCACAGGCAAAAAAAAAAAACCTCCAGCACGGCTCGAATTCCTTCATCTGCCTCCTGTGGTTGGTGTTCTTATTTCAAGTGGCTCTAATTAAAAGGCACCAAGAGGCCTTGAAATGAAACATCTGGTAATGAGCAGTGTGACTGGGAGCACCAGGGCAGTGCAGTTCCTTGGTTACTCCTACAGATCCCACTGAAAACACTTTTTTTTTTTTTTTTTTCTCCCCAAAATCAGCTCTCAGGAGATTTCTCAGAGCACCCCGTTGGAATCTGGGTGTTTGTCTCCAGGTTGATTTGAGGAATCATTCATCTGCTCCCTCAAAAGCCTTATGGTTGCTTTCACTCTCCAGTTTTTAGGTTAATTTTGAAAAATAACGGATAGATGGGAATAATCTGTCCTTAAGTTGGGCTTCAGTGGGGAGATTCAGTGTCTGGAATCTCCTTCTGGTGATCCCTGATCTCTCCCAGCACAGCTTTGTTTGCCCCTGGGGAGTGTAAGAGAAGTGGAATTAAACTGCCAATTTTAATTTATAAACATGTGTTTCTTCATTATCCCAAAATCTGAACCTGAAGCATTTTCTCAATTGCAGCAAATATTTAAATTCCACTGAGTAAAACTCAGCAGAGGAGCTTTTTTCACTGTTAAATAGTCACAAACACTGTTTTGTTACAGAATTTTTTATTATTCTGCCATAAATCCATTTGTTAATATTTAAAAGGAACAAGAAAATTCCATCTCTGGAGGTGTCCAAGGCCAGTTTGTACAGGGCTTGGAGCAACCTGGACTTAGTGGAAGGTTGGAATTTGATGATCTCCAAGGTCCCTTCCGACCCAAACCACCCTGTAATTCTATAAATCAAAGCTTAATTATTTAAACAGCCCCAGTCCATCTCTTTGGAGTGAAGAATCAGCCTTAAAATAATTGTTATTGTAAGGAATTGGTCCTTCTCTTCCCCTAAAAAGTGTTTTCCTTCAACAACCAGCATTTCTAAAGTTGGGCCCGTCCGAGCTCACCCTCACGTTGCCACGACAGAGAAAAGGGACCCTCCTTGCTTTTTTTTTTTTGTTTTCATAGGATCAAATTTGGGCTGGTCACATTTAATTCCAGCTTACAAATGGAAAGCTGGGAGAACAGCCTATGCAGCAGGAAAGGTAAATTCAGCTCACCCCGTGGCTGCAGAATTGAATGGGAGCAGAATGAAAAGGGATTTTGCGGCGGCGGAGTTCAAACAGCAGCTTCCTCTCTGGGAATGAGGGGGGGAGAAGGGGGGTGGAAAAGCTTCACGTGGGCTCAGGGGGATGGAAACAGTGGTGGTGTGTCCTCCTGTCCCTGCAGAACGTGCTGAGGAAGGTGCAGCACCAGGATGCCCTGCAGATCTCGGACGTGGTCATGGCCTCGCTGCTGAGGATGTTCCAGAGCACGGCGGGCTCGGGGGGAGTGCAGGAGGACGCCCTGATGGCCGTCAGCACCCTGGTGGAAGGTCAGCTCTGGGCTGGGACAGGGCAGGGCAGCTTTGGATCCTGCTGGTTTGCTTTGTGTGGGGGAAAAAATAGCATCAGTTGCTGGTTTTGCTCGAGGTGTTGTGTGAGCACCCCTGGGACAGGGAAGCTGTGGCTGCACTTCATAGAATCATGGAATCAGCTGGGTTGGAAAAGACCTCTGAGATCATCAAGTCCAAGCCTTGATCCAACCCTGCTGTGGTTCCCAGCCCATGGCACTGATGCCACATCCAGTCTCATCTTAAAAACCTCCAGGGATGGAGAATCCACCCCTTCCCTGGGCAGCCCATTCCAGTGGCTGAGCACCCTCTCTGCAAAGAAATTCTTCCTAATATCCAACCTAACCCTCCCCTGGTACAGTTGAAGACCCAGCCCTCTTGTCCTACTGATGGTTGCCTGGGAGAAGAGACCAACCCCCCCCGGCTCCCCCCTCCTGTCAGGGAGTTGTAGAGAGTGAGGAGGTCTCCCCTGAGCCTCCTCTTCTCCAGGCTGAACAGCCCCAGCTCCCTCAGCCTCTCCTCACAGCACTTGTGCTCCAGTCCCTTCCCCAGCCTCTTTGCACTTCCATCCCTGGAAGTGTCCAAGACCAGGCTGGAGCAACCTGGGCCAGTGGAAGGTGTCCCTGCCCATGGCAGGGGCTGGAATGTGATGATCTCTGAGGTCCTTCCCAGCCAAACTGTTCTAATTCTGCACCCAAATTCAGGTTAATCCAGTAGAAGCTTCCAGTGCCTGGACACTGGACGTTTGTTGGCCTTAGTGAGGAAGGAGGTTCTGCTGGCTGGGATTTCCCATTGGAATGTCAGGTCTGACTCTGCAGATCTGTGTATCATTGCTCCTCCTTTGCATGGAGAAATGGACTCAAGAAGGGGATACTGGGAAGGAATTCTTCCCTGTGGGGCTGGATTTTCCAGAGAAGCTGTGGCTGCCCCATCCCTGGAAGTGTCCAAGGGACTTGGAGAAACCTGGGCTAGTGGAAGGTGTCCCTGAGAGTAGAACTGGATGATCCTTAAGGTCCCTTCCAACTCAAACCATCCTGTATTCCATAATCTCACCATGTCTGAGCCTGGCTGGTTATTCCAGATTTCTGTTCCACGAAGGAGTGGTTTGATTTCAGTTTATAATGTTGCCACAGAGCAAATTTTGCCAGGAAAAAAAAAAAAAAAACCCAACAAATTAGTGCTACTCTGTCCAGTTCCCATCCCAAGGGAACCTGTTCCCTTGGAGCAACTCCAGGACAGATTGGATGTTACCTGAGTGATTCACCCTCCCTGGTGACTCAAGGCTGTTCTGGCAGTGGATTTACAGCCACTGCTCTTGTTTATCACAAATCACAGTGGCAAAAATCCACAGGGAATTTGGCTCTTGGGAATCTCCAGGTGGCCCTGGACACATTTCAGTGCCCCTCATTTCCTGGGTGTTGCCCAGGGGGAGGATTGATTTCCACTGGGTTTGGGTGGGATACAATGATGGGCTTCTGACTTGTTGAACTCCAGCAAAATAGGATTCCAATCACAAATGGGGTTTTTTTTCTTTCTAACTGGAATATTTTCCATGCACAGTCTTAGGTGGAGAGTTCCTGAAGTACATGGATGCCTTCAAACCTTTCCTTGGCATTGGACTGAAGAACTATGCCGAGTACCAGGTAGAGATCCAAGACTTTACTCCCTTTGCCCAGAGAAGCTGTGGCTGCCCCTGGATCCCTGGAAGTGTCCAAGGCCAGGTTGGAGCAACCTGGGCCAGTGGAAGGTCTCCCTGCCCACAGCAGGGGGTGGAATGTGATGATTTTTAAGGTCCTTCCAGCCCAAACTAGACCCAATTCCGTGCATAAATTCAGACTTGAAGCAGCAGGAGCATCCAGTGCCTGGACACTGCACATTTGCTGGCCTTGATGAGGAAGGAGGTTCTGCTGGATGGGATTTCCCATTGGAATGTCGAGCCCTGGTGCCCTCCAAGGGGGGGTGGGTGCTGAGACACAACGTGGTTCGGTTTGCTCAGACTCAATCCCTGTCTCTCCATGGGCACCTGGATCTCTGCTCTGGGGTTAAGGAAGCAGGGACTGCCCAGGGACTCCTCAGCTGCTCTCAGGGTCGTTATTCCCCGGGGTTTAATTAACCTCTCGCCACTCCAGAGTGCTGGAATGAGCTGGATCCGGGAGGCTGGAGCAGTGACTGACTCACGGTGGGGGTGTTGCTGTGCTATTTGCAGGTCTGCCTGTCTGCAGTGGGCCTGGTTGGGGACTTGTGCAGAGCCCTGCAGTCCAACATCCTGCCTTTCTGTGACGAGGTTATGCAGCTGCTCCTGGAGAACTTGGGGGTGAGTGTTTCCCTCCTCATTAGTAACAGTTGGCTGCACACTCCCGAGGGAGGTGGGAGGTGGGAGAAGCACAAGTGTTAGGAATGCTCGGATCATCTCGTGTTTGACAACTATCTTGCTTACTATTTGAACGGGATCCAAACTTATTGGGGGCAAGGATTTGCATTTGGAGTAAATAATCTGCATTTATTGGCTCCGTCCCCTTCCCAAAAAACTGAACGTGGCCCTGCTGGAATCTCTTCCAGAATGAAAATGTCCATAGGTCTGTGAAGCCCCAGATCCTCTCAGTGTTTGGGGACATCGCCCTGGCCATTGGGGGGGAGTTTAAGAAGTACCTGGACGTGGTGCTGAACACCCTCCAACAGGCATCCCAGGCACAGGTGGACAAGGTAAGGTGTGCCCAGCCCAGCAATGGGCTGTGCTCGTCCTCGGGCCATTCCCAGTGTCTCATTCCCATTCCTGTGGCCCTTTCCAGTCTGACTATGACATGGTGGATTACCTGAACGAGCTGAGGGAGGGCTGCCTGGAAGCCTACACTGGGATCATCCAGGGGTTGAAGGGAGACCAGGAGAACGTGCACCGTGAGTACCCTGGGCTGGGTGAGGGCAGCTCTACTGGGATCACGGGAATGCTGAAGGTTGGAAAAGATCCTTAAGGATCTGTCAGCCCAGCACTGCTGTGTCACCTCTGACCCACGTCCCCAAGTGCCACATCCTGCATGTGTTTTGAATATTCCAGGGATGTGACTCCACCACTGCCCTGTGCTGGTGCTTCACAACCCTTTCCATGAAGAAATGTTCCCAGATATCCCATCTGAACCTCCCCTGCTGCAACTTGAGGCTGTTTCCTCTTGTTCCATCCCTTGTTCTGGCAGCAGAGCCCGACCTGGCTCCAACCTCCTTCCAGGGAGGAATAAGGTCCCCCCTGAGCACCTTTTCTCCGTGGTTATCACATCCTTGGGAATATCCCTGTTCATTCCCTCCCCTGTGGGAGTGAACACTCTGCTGCCACAGGCAGGGAACGTGTTTAGAGCCTTTCACTGTGGTTCCTCCAGCACCATTTCCCCTCCCTGTCAGAGAAGCTCTTTTGGGTCAGATTCTGCCTGTTTTGGGATCGCTGGAAGCCCTGTCACACTGTCCCTGTGTCCCCCTGCTCTGACAGAACCTTTCCCTTGCAGCTGATGTGATGCTGGTGCAGCCCAGAGTAGAATTTATCCTGTCCTACATCGACCACATCGCTGGGGACGAGGATCACACGGACGGGGTGGTGGCCTGTGCTGCCGGGCTCATAGGGTAAGAAGGCCTTCCCCCCATTCCAGAATCCCTGGAATCTGCACTTTCTCCTGCCTGTCTCAAGTGTTTAACATCAGCTCTGGGGTTTTACAGCAGTGCTGGGTGTTTGACTCGGGGTGTGAAGGCGTCACAGAGGTGGAAACCGGGAGGTGGAAGTGGAGGTTGTTACGGAAATTCCAGATTTAGGGTTTTTAAAGGGATGAGCTGAAGCAGAAAAGCTCAGAAGCAAAAAGCCTCCTGTCCTCAGGGTACAGAGGAAACCCAGTTTGGGGTGGTTTAGTCTTTCCTGCTGAATTTAGGGCAGATCAGCCCTGGGACAGGAGGCTGAACATCCCTTTGAGGCGCAGGCCTGGAATCAGTGACCATCTGCAGCGTTTTCCAAAGGATCTGTGAGTCAGAGCTCTGTGTGCTGGCACAGCTGGTTGTGGTGCTCAAAGCCTCTCTCTCCCCTCCTTCCAGGGATTTGTGTACAGCATTTGGGAAAGATGTTCTGAAATTAGTAGAAGCCAGACCCATGATCCATGAACTGCTAACGGAAGGGAGGAGATCCAAGACGAACAAAACGAAAACTCTCGCGACCTGGGCGACTAAAGAGCTGAGAAAACTGAAGAATCAAGCTTGGTAAGGGCTCCCTCCCACCTCCTTCCCTGCTCCACACTTTGGGGATCAGCCTGGAAGAGGCACAGTCCCAAAGGCTCTGTTCTCTCCAGGAGGTTGGTCCTCGTTTATTTTTTGCTCGGGGGGGTTTTGTTTGTCAGGACAAATCCAGGGGGGAGGAACGTGGGGAACTTGCACCAGGCTGGAGGGATTGGGGGTGAAATGTGGAATCATGGAATGGTTTGGGTTGGAAGGGACCTTAAAGCTCATCCAGTCCCCCAGGGACACCTTCCTCTGTCCCAGGTTGCTCCAACCTGGCCTTGGACACTTCCAGGGATGGAGCAGCCACAGCTTCTCTGGGCAACCTGTGCCAGGACCTCCCCACCCTCCCAGGGAACGATTCCTTCCCAATATCCCATCGCTCCTTGCCCCCTCTGGCAGTTTAAAACCATTCCTGTCACTGTCAGCCCATAGAAAAATCCCTCTCCTCCCTCAAATGTGTCACTTGTGCTCCTTGGGGACCATCCTGCACCCTCCAAACCTCCTGGAATTGAAACCTTTGGAGTTCAGGGAGCACCTGGGAGCTGCTCTCAGTGCCACAGTTGAGTTTTAGGGAGCTGGAATCCGATCCTCGGGGCTCCATTCCAACTTCAGATATTCCATGATTCCACCAAAACACCTTTTTAAAGGGAACAGGCTGCAAGGAAAAGTGGGATGAAGGATTATTTTGGCAGGATTGAGTGTCCCGCCTTTGTCACCCGTCTTGGAATTCCTTTAATATCCCTGTTATTTCTCTTGTGATCCTGCAAGGTCAATTTTTTCCACGTGAATGTTGGATTTCGGGGTTATTTTTTTGTAGAATCATGGAATTATTAAGGTTGGAAAAGCCCTCCAGGATCGAGCCCACCCCACCCACATCCCCAAACAGTGACAGACCCCCTTTTTTTTTTTTTCCCTTTTTTTTTTTTTTTTACTTCTCCCCCCTTGCTTCCAGATCTGTTACCATTGGGATGACACCTGAGAACCCCCACTGGAAAAATCTCCAATCTTTTGAAAAAAAAAAACAACCCGGAAGTGAGGAGTGTGCACGGATGCTGAATG